GGACAGTGGGCACGCTACCCTGTTCTTTCCTGTCCTGGGGGAAAGTGGGCATGCTGCCCTGTCCTGTCCTGTGGGGACAGGGGGCACACTGACCTGTACAGCGACCAATCCCATGCTGCCCCAGCTCAGCCCCTCGCTAGCCGGGCTCCTGGCAGGGGTGACCGAGGCGCTGTGCTCAGGCAGGGGTGGCGTGGGGGCCCCCTCTTCAGGGGGCTCCTGCGAGGCCGGGCTGGGGCTCTCCCCCCCGCTGGCGGCCGACCTCTTCTTGCGCAGGGTGTCGATCCAGCTGGCGCTGTGCCGCGTGGCGAAGCTGGACAGCGCCAGCGAGCTGAGCCGCATGTTCTTGCCGGAGGTGATGAGCTCGCCGAAGCCCTCCTGGTGGGCGAAGGCGTAGCCCGACCTCCGCGAGCCGCCGCGGCCCATGCGCCCCAGGGTGCCCCGGGTCCCCGATCTCGGCTTCTGCTTCTTCCGCACAAGCTGGGTGTAGCGCACCTGGGGGAGGGTGGGGAGAGAGAAGGGGGGTCACTGCACTGGCTCCCCCCTGTCCCCCTCCTCTCTTCCACTTCAAAACACAGTGTCCCCTCAGTTAACCCAAAACCACAGGGCCCCCTCTTGGTGTACAGTAAGTCTGAAGTATTAAGTATTAAGCATTATAATGCTAATGTTTTTCATATTATTAAATAAATATACTGAATACATAAACCCGGATATATAAAAAGTAGTACTTTGCATACATAGTAGTTTACATTTTAAGGTACAGACTAACCGTGTTATTTATACGTGTTTTTAAAAGATGATTTAATTTCAGCTGCTGGCTGTGACCTTAATCTTCGATCCATCCGTGATAAAAACTTTGGCTTCGAAAGCCAGTGGCACACAGCGAAGGGCGCCTGGCCCAGATTCACTTCTGCTTACTTCGCTCAAGAGCGCGACTCGGACAGTATCGGAGTGAGCTCCGCCGCCACACCGTTCCCACGGGTTTTGAAATTCACGGCTCGGAGGAAGACGGAGCGCTTTCA